ATAAAAAAAAATTATTGCATTATGTGACTTCATTTAAATTACCAACTTGGACATTCTCAACAGTATTTCCACAGTACTTTCCATTCTCAATAAAGTGCTTTCTATTCTTGGTGTCCTAAACTGAAATAACCGAGTAGGATGATGTTTGGGGCCAGGCTGGCAAAGCTTCCAAAGCAATGCTAATTTTTTAGTGTACAATGGGCTAGTAACCTCTTTTCCTGTAAAGATTACTAAAAAGAATAAGAAGAAGAAAATTGTCAAAGTGGGAAGTCTGAATGTGCGTGGATGTTGTGCAGATGATAAGAAAGAGATGATTGTGGATGTTATGAATGAGAAGAAGCTGGATGTCCTGGCTTTAAGTGAAACAAAGCTGAAGGGGGTGGGAGAGTTTCAGTGGAGAGGAATAAATGGGATTAGGTCAGGGGTTTCAAATAGAGTTAGAGCTAAAGAAGGAGTAGCAATAATGTTGAAGGATAAGCTATGGCAGGAAAAGAGGGACTATAAATGTATTAATTCAAGGATTATGTGGAGTAAAATAAAGATTGGATGTGAAAAGTGGGTTATAATAAGCGTGTATGCACCTGAGAAGAGAGAAGTGTAGAGGAGAGAGAGAGATTTTGGGAAATGTTGAGTGAATGCGTGGGGAGTTTTGAATCAAGTGTGAGAGTAATGGTGGTTGGGGATTTTAATGCTAAAGTGGGTAAAAATGTTATGGAGGGAGTAGTAGGTAAATTTGGGTGCCAGGGGTAAAGGTAAATGGGGAGCCTTTAATTGAGCTATGTGTAGAAAGAAATTTGGTAATAAGTAATACATATTTTATGAAAAAGAGGATAAATAAATATACAAGGTATGATGTAGCACGTAATGAAAGTAGTTTATTAGATTATGTATTGGTGGATAAAAGGTTGATGGGTAGGCTCCAGGATGTACATGTTTATAGAGGGGCAACTGATATATCGGATCATTATTTAGTTGTAGCTACAGTTAGAGTAAGAGGTAGATGGGAAAAGAGGAAGGTGGCAACAACAAGTAAGAGGGAGGTGAAAGTGTATAAACTAAGGGAGGAGGAAGTTCGGGTGAGATATAAGCGACTATTGGCAGAAAGGTGGGCTAGTGCAAAGATGAGTAGTGGGGGGGTTGAAGAGGGTTGGAATAGTTTTAAAAATGCAGTATTAGAATGTGGGGCAGAAGTTTGTGGTTATATAGGAGGGTGGGGGCAGGAGGAAAGAGGAGTGATTGGTGGAATGATGAAGTAAAGGGTGTGATAAAGAGAAAAAGGTAGCTTATGAGAGGTTTTTACAAAGCAGAAGTGTTAAAGAAGAGCAGAGTATATGGAGAGTAAAAGAAAGGTAAAGAGAGTGGTGAGAGAGTGCAAAAGGAGAGCAGATGATAGAGTGGGAGAGCATTGTCAAAAATTTTAATGAAAATAAGAAAAAATTTTGGAGTGAGTTAAACAAGTTAAGAAAGCCAAGGAAAATATGGATTTGTCAGTTAAAAACAGAGTAGGGGAGTTAGTAGATGGGAGATGGAGGTATTGGGAAGATGGCGAGAATATTTTGAGGAACTTTTAAATGTTAAGGAAGAAACAGAGGCAGTAATTTCATGCACTGGTCAGGGAGGTATACCATCTTTTAGGAGTGAAGAAGAGCAGAATGTAAGTGTGGGGGAGGTACGTGAGGCATTACGTAAAATGAAAGGGGGTAAAGCAGCTGGAACTGATGGGATCATGACAGAAATGTTAAAAGCAGGGGGGATATAGTGTTGGAGTGGTTGGTACTTTTGTTTAATAAATGTATGAAAGAGGGGAAGGTACCTAGGGATTGGCAGAGAGCATGTATAGTCCCTTTATATAAAGGGAAAGGGGACAAAAGAGACTGTAAAAATTATAGAGGAATAAGCTTACTGAGTATACCAGGAAAAGTGTACGGTAGGGTTATAATTGAAAGAATTAGAGGTAAGACAGAATGTAGGATTGCGGATGACAAGGAGGTTTTAGAGTGGGTAGGGGATGTGTAGATCAGGTGTTTACATTGAAGCATATATGTGAACAGTATTTAGATAAAGATAGGGAAGTTTTTATTGCATTTATGGATTTAGAAAAGGCATATGATAGAGTGGATAGAGGAGCAATGTGGCAGATGTTGCAAGTATATGGAATAGGTGGTAAGTTATTAAATGCTGTAAAGAGTTTTTATGAGGATAGTGAGGCTCAGGTTAGGGTGTGTAGAAGAGAGGGAGACTACTTCCCGGTAAAAGTAGGTCTTAGACAGGGATGTGTAATGTCACCATGGTTGTTTAATATATTTATAGATGGGGTTGTAAAGGAAGTAAATGCTAGGGTGTTTGGGAGAGGGGTGGGATTAAATTATGGGGAATCAAATTCAAAATGGGAATTGACACAGTTACTTTTTGCTGATGATACTGTGCTTATGGGAGATTCTAAAGAAAAATTGCAAAGGTTAGTGGATGAGTTTGGGAATGTGTGTAAGGTAGAAAGTTGAAAGTGAACATAGAAAAGAGTAAGGTGATGAGGGTGTCAAATGATTTAGATAAAGAAAAATTGGATATCAAATTGGGGAGGAGGAGTATGGAAGAAGTGAATGTTTTCAGATACTTGGGAGTTGACGTGTCGGCGGATGGATTTATGAAGGATGAGGTTAATCATAGAATTTGATGAGGGAAAAAAGGTGAGTGGTGCGTTGAGGTATATGTGGAGTCAAAAAAAGTTATCTATGGAGGCAAAGAAGGGAATGTATGAAAGTATAGTAGTACCAACACTCTTATATGGGTGTGAAGCTTGGGTGGTAAATGCAGCAGCGAGGAGACGGTTGGAGGCAGCGGAGATGTCCTGTTTAAGGGCAATGTGTGGTGTAAATATTATGCAGAAAATTCGGAGTGTGGAAATTAGGAGAAGGTGTGGATTAATAAAAGTATTAGTCAGAGGGCAGAAGAGGGGTTGTTGAGGTGGTTTGGTCATTTAGAGAGAATGGATCACAGTAGAATGACATGGAAAGCATATAAATCTATAGGGGAAGGAAGGCGGGGTAGGGGTCGTCCTCGAAAGGGTTGGAGAGAGGGGTAAAGGAGGTTTTGTGGGTAAGGGGCTTGGACTTCCAGCAAGCGTGCGTGAGCGTGTTAGATTAGGAGTGAATGGAGACGAATGGGATTTGGGGCCGACATCTGTTTGGGGTGTGAGCAGGGTAATATTTAGTGAAGGGGTTTCCCCCGGGGAAAAAAAAATTTTGGGCTTTGATCCCTTTTTTTAGGGCTATTTGAACCAGTTTAATATTGAGTATTATTTTTTTAGAGGCTTGTAGAATAGGGACAATGTGGAATTTGCAGTATATGAATTGGGGAAGAGAAAAGGAAAGATTTGTTTTAATCATTGGGTTTTTAGTTTCCCAGATTCTTTACCTTTAAGATTTCTTAGCTTTAGTTCAATGTTTGCATTCTCTGATTAGTCTCCTACATATTGCGGATATATGGCTCTTGTAGCTGCTCTGTTATTCTTGCCTTGCTGTATAGGAGCACCTTTCTCTTTATTTAATCTTCTCTTTTCCTTAAGGAATATCTTGAGCATACTCAAGTGCACAGTGTTAATTGTTTAGCATAGGTTAGCCGTGTTGCTAGGCTACTCCATGGGCAATGTGTAGCTGATTATTAGTAAAAATTGTGTCTAAAGATTAGAAGGAATGCAAGTTATGTAATAAATCCACTGGCTAAAGAGGGGTTATTGGTAGTCTGGAATAGGAGGATGAAGCAAAGCAGAGACTTGGAGGGGAATAAATCTGTAGGAGGAAGAGAGGTAAGGTCATCAAGAAAGGTTGGGGAATGGGCAAGGAGGTTTTGTATGCAGGACTGGATATCAAAAACATGTGTGAATGTATGGACAGGAGTGGAGGCATGGTTTTAAAGACGAAAAGTGGTGTTGGAGGTGGTGATTACAAGGTAAATTTCAAAATGGGTTACCAGATTTGAATCTTTTAAATGTGGGAAGTACAAAGCTAAACCCTGCAAAGGAGTGGATTGGAATTGTTGAAAGTTTGGAGGGGGATTTAGGTGTCAAATGATTTAGTAAAAAATTGGATACGACATTGAGGAGGAATAAGGTGAATGTTTTCTTTTTTGTTTTTTTGGTTTCTAGTTAGGGAAAATGAGTTGCCTCAGTTTGGGAAGACAGCCAGGGATTAAAAAATGTAAAATAGTATCTCAGTACCACACTCCAGGGAACTAAATGTAGCGAGGGGACGGTTGAGAGAAGCAGATCCTGTTTAAGGAACTGTGGTTTAAATCATTCGGACTGCGTTTGGAAATTTTTAAAATATTTCAGGGAGAAGAGTTTTGATTTGGGATTTAGAGAATGATCCAAAAATTAAAATATAATCTTGGGAAGGAACGGTAGTTCGTCCCAAAGAGAGATAAAGGATTTGGCAAGGTATTGGTTCCACAAGGGGTATTTTAGTATGAATTGGTTCTATTATTTTGATAAGTAAATTATAAATAAAAATTATTTTCATTAGTGATTTATCTTGGAAATGAAGTACAACCTGGACACTTTAAAGTATTTGGGAATACTTGGCATTCTGCAATAAAGGGGCTTTTATTTTTGGTCTCTAGACTGGAATCACACCCGAAAAAAGGATATGTTGGGGCCAGTGGAAAGCTTTCCAAAGCTAATTTTCTAATTTTTTTAGTGTACATTTACAAATAAACTGCACACAGGTAAATTTGTCCAAAGCAGGTCTGTACAAAGCCAGGGAGACCAATATTTGTACCTAACTACAAAAGCTTATTCATGTCAAACAATTTACAGAAAGCCAAGAGACAAAGCATAAAGGAAACATGTGCTGTGACTATATTGCAAACGGCTGTGAAATAATTTATAACACTGCCACTAAATTGTACACTGCAAGCATACTCTATTTCTTTTCGTCAACTTTCCAGCAAAAGTAATGAAGCATGATCATCACACACTGTAGTAAATTAATATGGCATCCCACCTTGATGGATTGGCTGCGCTGGAGCTGATCCCCTACGGGTGGATAAATAACGCTGATCTGGCCTCTCTGCACCACCTCTTAGGCCACCCCACAATTCTTCAGGCCGCAGAAGCGGAGCTGAACCTCGACGGCCATGAATGAACATACTTCCCTGGGAATGTTGAGCTTTTAAGCATTCCAAAAATTACAATATGGCACAATCATCTGGGGATATATGGAGGTAATCAACTTCACTGGCAAACCAGGAAATAAATATTCTCAGTCTGGCAAGTTTTGCGAATTTTTGATAATATGAAATGTACGTGAGACAAGTATATACTATGTATTAAAAACAAGATATAGGTTTGAAGATTTTTGTCTCAAATGTCACTTAATAATACAGTACAGTATATTGCTTTCAAGCACAGAATCCCTGTGTATAGTTTGATGAACCACTTAAAAATGCAGCCTCTCTGGTGTTATTTATTCTTGTACCAGTGTCAAACCTCCACACCACTTTTATCTTAGTATGTCCCCTTCTACTTTCTCCCTTCTCTAGTGAAAAAGCTTTGTTTTCTTTCAACAGCTGACCTCCCAGACCCCCTAGCTGTCAGGCAACCAGTCAAAATTACGAAAGTCACAACACATAACATGGAAAGATAGCAATCTTCATGGTTCATCAAACCCTACAGTGCACAGTAGTTTTTTAATAATTTAAAACTGTGTCGTGTTTTCAAGTTCTGATCAAACAGTACAAATACTAATACCAGTACACCCAATTCACAACATATCAGATAAAAGAATAATTATAACAGTCCTCGCTTTGTGAACAAAGAAAAGAGTACTCCCCTTATACAGGCGGGCCCCACTTTACAGTGCTTCACTTTGTAGTGTTTCGCTATGCAGCAGTTTTCAATTACGTATACCCATTCTTGTTTTTATTCGGACTTCCTACAATAAAATTCACCACTCACTATAAGCTAAGGACAAAAATATTTTAAGGCAAGTAATGCATGTACTGTATATACATTTTTTAGGCATAACTACTGTTCACTTAATGTATGATGTTATCAGGTTTTTACATGCATTTGAAAATGAAAAAGGCTATGTTTCCCTTTACAGAGATTTTTGTTTTATAATAGTAGCCCAGATCCTAACCTGCTGTATAAGTGGGTTTATATATATGCTTGTACATGCATGTGTAGTGTGACCTAAGTGTAAGTAGAAGTAGCAAGATGTACCTGAAATCTTGCATTTTTTTTTTTTCAATAAACCGACCATATCCCACCGAGGCAGGGTGGCCCAAAAAGAAAAACGAAAGTTTATCTTTTTAAATTTAGTAATTTATATGGGAGAAGGGGTTACTAGCCTCTTGCTCCCGGCATTTTAGTCACCTCTTACAACACGCATGGCTTATGGAGGAAAAATTCTGTTCCACTTCCCCATGGAGATAAGAGGAAATAAACAAGAACAAGAACTAGCAAGAAAATAGAAGAAAACCCAGAGGTGTACAGTGGAACCTCAAAAATTGAAGTGCTCCCAACTCAGCCAATTATGTAAGTGTATTTTTGTAAGTGCTTTTATAAGTGTATTTTTGAGGGTTTGAAATGGACTAATCTAATTTACATTATTCCTGATGGGAATAAATTCATTCGGTAACAGCACTTGGACAGCCTTCTGGACTGAAGAAAGTTCGATATTTGAGGTTCCACTGTATGTATACATATGCTTGTACAGTGTAGTGTGACCTAAGTAAGTAGAAGTAGCAAGACGTACCTGAAATCTTGCATGTTTATGAGACAGAAAAAAAGACACCAGCCATCTTACCATCATGCAAAACAATTACAGGCTTTCATTTTACACTAACTAGGCGGAATGGTAGTACCTCCCTGGGTGGTTGCTGTCTACCAACCTACCACCTACACCCAATTACTGTAATCTTCTTTCTTCTTTCAACAAAATGGCCATATCCCACTGAGGCAGGGTGGCCCAAAAAGAAAAACAAAAGTTTCTCTTCTTAAATTCAGTAATTTATACAGGAGAAGGGGTTACTAGCCCCCTTGCTCCCGGCATTTTAGTCGCCTCTTACGACACGCATAGCTTACGGAGGAAGAATTCTGTTCCACTTCCCCATGGAGATAAGAGGAAATAAACAAGAACAAAAACTAGAAAGAAAATAGAAGAAAACCCAGAGGGGTGTGTGTGTATATATATGTTTGTACATGTATGTGTAGTGTGACCTAACTGTAAGTAGAAGTAGTAAGACGTACCTGAAATCTTGCATGTTTATGAGACAGAAAAAAGGACACTAGCAATCCTACCATCATGTAAAACAATTACAGGCTTCCGTTTTACACTCACTTGGCAGGACGGTAATACCTCCCTGGGCAGTTGCTGTCTACCAACCTACTACCTAGGGCCCAATTAATTTATCAGACAAAATAAGAATTAGAAGAGTCCTCGCTTCGTGAACAAAGAAAAGAGTGATCTTATATTTAATGAAGAACAGAGAAAATTTGAGGAAAACTGCTCACTAACCAGAGCAACTTGAACTCATTAACATCTACATCTAATGATATGGTAAACGTAACATAAAAGACTTCTCATTTTTGAAAATCTAGCACAATCTACCCCCATCAGCACCACATGATCAACGATCGACTGTACATAATAAAGCAGCCAACACATTGAGCCTCAAACTTGAAATCAAATAGAAAAAGAATATATACATACCTGAGTTGGATTGAGCTTGTATATGCCTGGCTTAATCATTTTCTCTCTATGATCACTAATATTTTCATCCTCATAATTGAGGCTTCGCCAAGCACGAGTTTTCCAAAATGGTACTTGTCGGTCTCTACTAATAAGTGGTTCCCTTGTGGGTGCTTTATTTTCCTTGTCCACTTCACTGTTTAAACGATCCACACGAGCAAACTTACTTCCGTCATGTGCTAAACGGTCCAAAAACTCACGCTTACTGCTGATGCTCGAACTGTCTAGAGAAGCTCGTCTCACCAGCACCTTTCCACCAAGTGCTCGGTAGTGAACATTATCTGAACACTCAGAATGAAGGAATGTAGCACCTTGATAATTTTGAACAGATTTCCTACTGTGAACACAACAGTCCCGAACTGAGGGCATAGTATCACACCTTGTTGATCTGTGTGTTTGTCCTGTAGATTCACAGCAATCACCACTATTATTGCTCCCAGTACAACCACCACTATCTTCACACTCATTACCACTGCCCCCAACACTACCCTGTGCAGTGCTTCCTACAATTTCTGTCCTTTGTTTAGAATCTTCAGAGGGCGGGAGATTTTCCTGAGTATCCTGAGGAGATGTAGAGTCCTCACTGGGGGTAGGTGACATTGGCTGCAATGTTTGTAAGGGTCGAGAACGTGGATGCTGAGACCAGAGAGGAGGTAGGGACATTCGGCGTGAGAGCTTAGAGGCATGACGGGAACGTCCATTGCTCACACCACCCATTGTTGTGATGGAGGGCTCGGGTAATAGGGCATCAGCAGTCAGAGTGACATTGGGATCAATAGTATGTGATGTAAGAGAGGTTAGTGAGAGGCCTCCCATCATCACAGTCTCCACCACCAGAGGCTGGCCCCCAACCTCAGGCAAACTTTCCCTCCTAATAACTGTACGGGGAACCAGGCGAGGCAGATTCAAGGGTACAGAATGTCTTCGCCCTAGTTGAAGTGACCTCGATACATTTTCTAAGGATCCCAACACAGACTGATGACTATCACCACTGCTACTAGGTGTAGTACCTCCATCAACATCATCTGGCTCTTCACCAGGTTCCTCAATAGGCAATCTTAGGGAGTCGAGTGGGGTAATAGAGAGCTGTGTGGCAGCCACTTCCGCAGCCTCCCGGGCCAACTGTTCTTCCCACAGAACAAGATTTCTATTCATATGCGTCACCATTGATGTTGAGAGACTTGTATTTAACCAACTATCCCAAGCAACAAATAGTGGCGAGACCACAAATTTGATAAATCCTGAAAGAAACAAGAAAATATCAGATATTTTTTTAAAATGAGGGTAGAAAGTGTATCTCATGTTCATTATTATGAAGAAACAAAAGTACAGCTATACTACACTGTATCTTTCATGTTAGTTAGAAGTAAAATGTTAATACACTTCAAACAAATCAATATTTTGGTATTATGTCAGTGTGGGTATTTGAAAGCAGGACAAGAAAACAAAAGTATTCATTACAGGGACAGAATACCATAGATTATGTGCAGGATATCCAACTTGACAGTGATAAAAACAAGTGATTTTAATATTATGTACTAAGAATTTATTAATTACTTTTAAATATAAACCATTGTACTATGTCCCACTTATATACGTATGTATTTAAAATCATCTTCTGCCCTATCAAACCCTGAATGCTGTATGTAACGATCTCTCCTCACACGAGCATAAATTTATGGAAAAATGATGTAACTTTATAAGCAGAAAACCAGTATGAGAAAGCACGTATGCAGACTTCCATGATACAAGACAATTTTATCCATGTTAGTCCATCGTCTACGAACAGTTAAAACTGAGGTAAAGAAACCTGTACAGGTAACACAAATTTAATTTTTTAATATTTTCTAACAATGCAAAGAATGTAAATACTGCAACAAAAATATACAAATATGAATCCCATTATCATTTTAAATATTAATGACTACACTGGGTCAAACTGTTTTACAGGTAAAATCAAGTGTACAGTATATGGAGAATGTGGCCTAGTTTTTATTTTAAAATTAAATCTTCAGAATTAATATGGTTGAGCAATTATACACTGTATTTGATTATTTTAAGAATTCTCCTCTTACATCATGAGGAAAAACTTCCATGGTTGATTCCTGGTCAACCAAGTCAACCTCAGTCAAACCAGAAAGACACCATAGCAAAATTAAAATGGAAATTCATATTTTTTCTCTCACTGTTTCTTGCTCTGGTTATTCGCACACCTGAGTGCCATTTAATGGTCTGTTCAATATTCTCAACCTAAACAATGACCTTCAACATTATTATTCTAATTTTCTTGTCAGTGTCTTAATTTTAATGTTCTATCTTTTAGTATCCCTTATTTAAGAAAAGTCCTCACTGTGTGTACTTTTTTTTGCATTCTACAATAAATGGCAATACTTCTTTTATGACATCCAAAACATGCAGAATTCCTTTATAAAATCTTTAGGTGCATCTAATACAGTGGAACCCCGGTTTACCATCACCTCCCAATGCGACCAATTATGTAAGTGTATTTATGTAAGTGCGTTTGTATGTGTATGTTTGTGGGTCTGAAATGGACTAATCTAATTCACAATATTCCTTATGGGAACAAATTCCGTCAGTACTGGCACCTGAACATACTTCTGGAATGAAATAATATCGTAAACCGGGGGTCCACTGTATTTGTGTTGCATGAAAGTATGTGAAATGTCTGGTTAAGGTTGTAAATACCACAAGGAGGGTAAGCTGCCAGGGAAACAAGACAACAAATATATACATAGATTTTGATTTCATCATTTATCTAGGATTCAGGTAGAGCCAATTTTTGTCACTTAAATAGAGGTTTTTTGGAAAAAAATGGAAATGTTATATTCCTACAAGGCATTTTTAATGAGATATTTATTGGTCAGAAAATTTTATTAATTGTGAATAACCAATTATTCAAACTATGGATAGATTTTCAACATTATAAGATAATGATATACAGTACATAGTGTAGTAATGAAAAAACTTTCAAAGCTCATTATATAAAATCTTAAATGTTCTTATAGGATCAAACATACCTATTTGGATTTTAGCAATTGATGTAACATAGCGATCGCACTGTGGTGTGATGCGAAGGTTCAACTGACGTTCATAGTCACCTTGCCGATAAAACTCATCACAAATCTGTAGAAAGGACAGCAAGGTAATGAGCGGAAATGTGAACACTTAATATACTTAATGACATACAGAGAATAAAATTTTCGTACCTAAACTGGAGGTACTATCTAATTCTATACCTTACAAAAACTGCAGAAGACCTAAAATATTTTAGAGGCCTGGTCAAGGGCTGATCTGCTGGGGCACTGACCCTTCAACACCCTCCAGGTACACAGTAGAACCCCCATATCCATGGATTCAGTTTCCATGGTTTCAGTAATCTGAGGTTTACTGCAGCCCGAAAATATTAAATGGAAAATTCCATAAATGATTCATAAGTTACAAATTGCAATCCTATAATGGAATGCAACATTAAAGTCACCCGTATAATCACTGAAGCATTAGAACCATGCCAGCAAATGTCTGATGAGCTGAAAAGAAACAACAACTTCCTATCACAATGTTTTTCCAAAAGGTTGAAAAACAAGCCATGTCCACTATCGATAATCCCCAACCATCATCATCATAAAGTCTTAATGTGTATAATTTATTAATTAAACTTTATCACAGGTATGTATGTAATGAAAAGCAACTTATATACAGGGTTCACTACTATCAGCTTTTACGGGCACCTGCGGTAGGTCTTGGAACGTATCACCTGTGGATAGAGGGGACTACTGAACAGTCTCTTCTAATTCTATACATGACAATTTTGGATAAATAATTTAAAACTAAACTTCATACTGTGCTATCATGACAAACATTACCTTGTGTGACCATTTACGAGATATTTCCCAGGGTCGGCAAGGATTGCATATATCGGCACACTTCAGAGCAATCTGAAGCGAGAAGTGCCGATGTTCTGGGTCATTCATATCAAAGCTGTCAGCATCCAAGTACCTCTGCAAATATACAATAATATAATTAACTTTATATACAATTAGGTAATTTCAGTGGCCCCTTTAGGGGGGAGGGGGGAAAAATTGGAGCATAACACATTTTCCCAGTCAGTGCAGATGGAAAGCAAATTTATGTCTTACAGCCAAAAATTTTAACAAGTAGCTACTTGTAGCTAGAGGGAGAGAAAGGTAGCTCTGGTTTAACAAGGTTCTTCAGGTAAGAGTCCAAATTCAACTAAACATCAGAATAATGCAATTTTTTTATCGAGTATGGTGTAGCCATGACTGATGATGTAAAGACTGTGGAGCTGCACACCATTTAAATGAAAACATAGTGGATGTCAAGGTGCAAGTCCACCTCAAACTAAAAAAAAATTAACTGGGCTGACTATATTAAATCAATTATTCTTTCAATAGGACACATGCAGTTAGATGTGTATTATAAATGAACAAGTATTGTGACTGATTAAAAAACACCTAAGCACAACATTGCGAGGGTGACTTATGATATACAATTTACATTATCTGTCATATATGAGAAGTGGCACAGCAGAAAAGAATAAGCTTCATATTCAAACAACGGAGAAAAATGCAGGTGTAGAGGAGATCACAGTTATAAACCTCAAGTTATCATACTTTGTTATTGAGCTCTGAGCCTAACTTACAGGAGCACAAGACAATACCTACACAAAAAATAAAAAGGCACAATATAGTAAGTCCTTGACTTACAAACACATTTAGAATTTTCTATATTGTGTATAATAACAATATTATATCATTATTGTGTATAATATCATTATTATATCATTATTCGTTACATCTATTCGCAGATGACACCACTTATGTCTTCTCCCACCCAAACCCAGGTATACTTAGTAACACTGTAAACAGTGAGCTACATAAAACATCAAACTGGATGATGACCAATAAAATTACTCTCAATATAGACAAAACCTACTTCATGCTTTTTGGAAACAGAACATTAAATATCCAGCTAAACATATCGATAAATGGTTCACCCATTACAAGACACACAGAGGGCAAATTTCTAGGTCTCCACCTTGACTGTAATCTTAAATTTCAGACCCACATCCAGCATATAACTAAAAAAGTTTCCAAAACAGTAGGTATCCTCTCCAAGATACGATACCATGTACCCCAAAGGGTGCTCCTTACTTTATATTACTCTCTAATATACCCTTACCTCACCTATGGTATTTGTGCTTGGGGATTTACCACAGCCAATCATCTTAAACCTTTAATAACCCATCAGAAAGCAGCAGTGCGGATGATCACAAACTCCTGCACCAGACAACATACCCCCACCACTCTTCAAAACCTTGAACTTACTTAATATACAAAATATACACACTTATTACTGTACCTACTATATATACAGAACATTAAACTCTAATATCAACCCTCCACTCAAACTTCTCCTAGACAGCTTCAACAGAACACACACAGGCATAACACGAGGCACAAAACACTTTTTGACATCCCTCGTGTCCATCTCACACTATGCAAAAATGCAATGCAAATATCTGGAACTCTTTGCCCGAAACAGCAAGAGGTCCCCTACCCACAAATCAATTTAGGACTATACTCAAAAATCACCTCATCTCTCAATAACAACCATACCCACACTATGATAACCTATAACCAAATTTAAAGCAACTCTCCCAAATATTTTATTATCCCTTAACTATTAAGCCATTATTACAAACTTAAAAATGTATGTCTGTATCATAAATTGTACTACCTTATATTAATAATAGCGTAAAATACTGAATATTTGTAATATACCATTCTTCACCTGTTTAGACTTAAGTAGTCTTTAAGTATTAGGTTAAGTCTGCCCAAAATGCCTCAGCATGATAGTGGCTTTCTTTGTACCAATCAAATTATGAAATGTAAACACATATTGTGACCTTGATAAAGAAATAAAGTTTTTTATTTTTCAATTTTTTTTTTTTTTTGATACAGAAGGTCCCCAACACGTTCATAAGTTGAAGGCTTCCTGTACTGTGACTTGAACAATACACATATAACCAGCACACAAGAGAATGAAACCTGTGATGATGTTTCAGTCCAAGTGGGACCGAAATGTCACCATAAGTTTCATTCTCCTATGTACGGGTTATTTGTGTACAATATTTACGTGTTCTCACAGACAAAACATTAAAGACTCTATTCATTCACTAACACAGTTTTGACCACGATGGAACTTATTTTCTGCTATGCAATGCCTCACAGACCATATGTTAGAGTACCTCTAAGAGAACACTAAATAAAGGATAAAAATCACTCTAGGTGAGAAAATCCTATTATGCAAATTTTAGGATTTTCTCTTCATTTTAGGATTTACTCAAAATGAAAACTACTGGATCACATTATTAAAACTTCATGTGTATATTATTCATTATCTTTATAATGATCTTTATTTCCCATTTTTATGTGGCAGTAATGCACATTATTATTATTATTATTATTATTATTATTATTATTATTATCATCATTATCATCATCATAGTTATATTATTATGATTGTATTACATGGGTTTATAAAGGATGAGCTTAACCACAGAATTGATGAAGGAAAAAAGGTGAGTGGTGCATTGAGGTATCTGTGGAGACAAAAAATGATATCCATGGAGGCAAAGAAGGGAATGTATGAAAGAATAGTGGTACCAACACTCTTATATGGGTGCTAAGCTTGGGTTGCAAATGCTGCAGCGAAGAGGGAGCTGGAGGCAGTGGAGATGTCCTGTCTAAGGGTCAATGTGTGGTGTAAACATTATGCAGAGAATTCAGAGTGTGGAAATTAGGAGGTGTGGAGTTAATAAAAGTATTAGTCAGAGGGCTGAAGAGGGGTTGTTGAGGTGGTTTGGTCATTTAGAGAGAATGGATCAAAGTAGAATGACTTGAAGAGCATATGAATCTGTAGGGGAAGGAAGACGGGGTAGGGGTCATCCTCGAAAAAATTGGAGGGAGGGGGGTAAAGGAGGTTTTGTGGGTGAGGGGCTTGGATTTCCAGCAAGCATGCATAAGCATGTTGGATAGGAGTGAATGGAGACAAATGGTTTTTGGGACCTGACGAGCTGTTGGAGTGTGAGCAGGGTAATATTTTGTGAAGGGGAAACTGGTTAGCCAGACTCGAGTCCTGGAAATGGGAAGTACAATGCCTGCACTTTAAAGGAGGGGTTTGGGATATTGACAGTTTGGAGGGACTTCGGAACTGTCATATCTGAGTTCCTCTGCAAAGAGAGTGATTATGTATGAGTGAGGTGAAAGTGTTGAATGATGATGTAAGCATTTTCTTTTTGGGGATTTTTCTTTCTTTTTAGGTCACTCTGCTTTGGTGGGAGACGATTGACATGTTAAAAAAAAATTTGTATTATAAATTAATATTAATATTATTAATAATAAATTATTTTAGGTAGTAGGTTGGTAGACAGCAACTGCCCAGGGAGGTACTACTGTCCTGCCAAGTGAGTGTAAAATGAAAGCCTGTAATTGTTTTACATGCTAGTGTCCTTTTTTCTGTCTCATAAAATGCAAGATTTCAGGTACGTCTTGCTACTTCTACTTACACTTAGGTCACACTACACATACATGTGCAAGCATATATATACACGCACCCCTCTGGGTTTTCTGCTATTTTCTTTCTAGCTCTTGTTCTTGTTTATTTCCTATCTCCATGGGGAAGTGGAACAGAATTCTTTCTCTGTAAGCCATGCGTGTTGTAAGAGGCAAATAAAATGCCGGGAGCAAGGGGCTAGTAACCCCTTCTCCTGTATAAATTACTAAATTTGAAAAGAGAAACTTTTGTTTTTCTTTTTGGGCCACCCACCTTGGTGGGATACGGCTGGTTTGTTGAAAAAAAAAAATTGTACAAGAGACTCAAAACCAAAATGCTTACCCGAAATCTGGTGAGAAACTCTTGTTGACGGGTGATATCTGTAGCTAATATGAGAGACCTTATCATTTCCTGAAGCACTGATACATCTTCAGGTGCCCAAGAATCTAGTAGTCCAGACTCCCAGAGGCAGCCCATTGCACACCTCCAGTGATGGTTTTCAAGCACACTTAAGTTCTGTATGAAGGAAAACAAATAAATAATTAATTAATTATACAACATTGTCCATTTACATCATTCCCAAAACAGAAATGCTTTCACCATCTTTCACACTATCACTATCTTGCCAGAGGAACATAGATACAACAGTTTAGATGTCCTTCCCAATAGCAAATATCCCAAACCCCTCCTTTAGAGTACATGCACTGTACTTCCCACCTCCAGGAGAGTCTGACTACCCTGAATTAGAGGAACAATCTACTGACCTAGTCAGTATGCTGTTCCTCTCCAAGCTTTCTCTAGTGGCTTTCCTATCTAGCTTTTTCTATTAGCTTTCTCTAATATTTTGACATCAACACTTGTCAGGAAAACCCCCTCTGTTATCTTTAATAAATACTGCCACAATGTGTGCTATCTTCCATTTCAATCAGTATTTTTTTTTTTTAACAAGTTGGCCGTCTCTCACAGAGGCAGGATGACCCAAAAGGAAAGAAAATCCCCAAACAGAAAATACTTTCATCATCATTCAACACTTTCACCTCACTCACACATAATCACTGACTTTGTAGAGGTGCCCAAATACAACAGTTTAGAAGCATATATAACATACCCCTCCAAACTGCCAATATCCCAAACCCCTCCTTTAAAGTGAAGGCATTGTACTACTTCCCATTTCCAGTACTCAAGTCCGGCTAGATAAAAATAACCGGTTTCCCTGAATCCCTTCACTAAATATTACCCTGCTCACACTCCAACAGCTCCTCCGGTCCCAAAAACCATTCATCTCCATTCACTCCTATCTAACATGCTCACACAAGCTTGCTGGAAGTCCAAGCCCCTTGCCCACAAAACCTCCTTTACCCCCTCCCTCCAACCTTTTTGAGGACGACCTCTACCAAGTCTCCAGGTAACCCGCCTTCCTTCCCCTACAGATTTATAAGCTCTCCAAGTCATTCTTTCATCCATTCTCTCCAAATGACCAAACCACCTCAACAACCCCTCTTCAGCCCTCTGACTAATACTTTTAGTAACTCCACACCTTCTCTTAATTTCCACACTCCGAATTCTCTGCATAATACTTTCACCACACATTGCCCTTAGACAGGACATCTCCATTGCCTCCAGCCGCCTACTCGCTGCAGCATTTGCAACCCAAGCTTCACACCCACATAATAGTGTTGGTATCACTATCTAGGTTTTTCCCCTTTTTTTCTAAATAGCTCTTGTCCTTCTTTATTTCTTCTATTGTCCATGGGGAAGTGGAAAAGAATCTTTCCTCTGTAAGCCATGCGTGTCGTATGAGGCGACTAAAATGCCGGGAGCAATGGGCTAGTAACCCCTTCTCCTGTAGACATTTACTAAAAAAGAGAAGAAGAAAAACTTTATAAAACTGGGATGCTTGAATGTGCATGGATGTAGTGCGGATGACAAGAAACAGATGATTGCTGATGTTATGATTGAAAAGAAGTTGGATGTCCTGGCCCTAAACGAAACAAAGCTGAAGGGGGTAGGGGAGTTTCGGTGGGGGGAAATAAATGGGATTAAATCTGGAGTATCTGAGAGAGTTAGAGCAAAGGAAGGGGTAGCAGTAATGTTGAAGGATCAGTTATGGAAGGAGAAAAGAGAATATGAATGTGTAAATTCAAGAATTATGTGGATTAAAGTAAAGGTTGGATGTGAAAAGTGGGTCATAATAAGCGTGTATGCACCTGGAGAAAAGAGGAATGTAGAGGAGAGAGAGAGATTTTGGGAGATGTTAAGTGAATGTATAGGAGCCTTTGACCCAAGTGAGAGAGTAATTGTGGTAGGGGATCTGAATGCTAAAGTAGGAGAAACTTTTAGAGAGGGTGTGGTAGGTAAGTTTGGGGTGCCAGGTGTTAATGATAATGGGAGCCCTTTGATTGAACTTTGTATAGAAAGGGGTTTAGTATAGGTAATACATATTTTAAGAAAAAGGGGATAAATAAGTATACAAGATATGATGTAGGGCAAAATGACAGTAGTTTGTTGGATTATGTATTGGTAGATAAAAGACTGTTGAGTAGACTTCAGGATGTACATGTTTATAGAGGGGCCACAGATATATCAGATCACTTTCTAGTTGTAGCTACACTGAAAAGTAAAAGGTAGATGGGGTACAAGGAGAATAGAAGCATCAGGGAAGAGAGAGGTGAAGGTTTATAAACTAAAAGAGGAGGCAGTTAGGGTAAGATATAAACAGCTATTGGAGGATAGATGGGCTAATGAGAGCATAGGCAATGGGGTCGAAGAGGTATGGGGTAGGTTTAAAAATGTAGTGTTAGAGTGTTCAGCAGAAGTTTGTGGTTACAGGAAAGTGGGTGCGGGAGGGAAGAGGAGCGATTGGTGGAATGATGATGTAAAAAGAGCATAAGGGAGAAAAAGTTAGCATATGAGAAGATTTTACAAAGTAGAAGTGATGCAAGGAGGGAAGAGTATATGGAGAAAAAGAGAGAGGTTAAGAGAGTGGTGAAGCAATGTAAAAAGAGAGCAAATGAGAGAGTGGGTGAGATGTTATCAACAAATTTTGTTGAAAATAAGAAAAAGTTTTGGAGTGAGATTAACAAGTTAAGGAAGCCTAGAGAACAAATGGATTTGTCAGTTAAAAATAGAAGAGGAGAGTTGTTAAATGGAGAGTTAGAGGTATTGGGAAGATGGAGGGAATATTTTGAGGAATTGTTAAATGTTGATGAAGATAGGGAAGCTGTGATTTCGTGTATAGGGCAAGGAGGAATAACATCTTGTAGGAGTGAGGAAGAGCCAGTTGTGAGTGTGGGGGAAGTTCGTGAGGCAGTAGGTAAAATGAAAGGGGGTAAGGCAGCTGGGATTGATGGGATAAGGATAGAAATGTTAAAAGCAGGTGGGGATATAGTTTTGGAGTGGTTGGTGCAATTATTTAATAAATGTATGGAAGAGGGTAAGGTACCTAGGGATTGGCAGAGAGCATGCATAGTTCCTTTGTATAAAGGCAAAGGGGACAAAAGAGAGTGCAAAAATTATAGGGGGATAAGTCTGTTGAGTTGTAGGTAGTAGGTTGGTAGACAGCAACCGCCCAGGGAGGTACTACCGTCCTGCCAAGCGAGTGTAAAACGAAAGCCTGTAATCGTTTTACATGATGGTAGGATTGCTGGTGTCTTTTGTCTGTCTCATAAATATGCAAGATTACAGGTAAGTCTTGCTACTTCTACTTACATTTAGGTCACACTACACATACATGTACAAGCATATATATACACACCCCTCTGGGTTTTCTTCTATTTTCTTTCTAATTCTTGTTCTTGTTTATTTCCTCTTATCTCCATGGGGAAGTGGAACAGAATTCTTCCTCTGTAAGCCATGCTTGTCGTAAGAGGCGACTAAAATGCCGGGAGCAAGGGGCTAGTAACCCCTTCTCCTGTATATATTACTAAATTTAAAAGGAGAAACTTCAGTTTTTTCTTTTGGGCCACCCTGCCTCGGTGGGATACGGCTGGTACGTTGAAAGAAGAAGAAGTCTGTTGAGTCATAGGTAGTAGGTTGGTAGACAGCAACCGCCCAGGGAGGTACTACCGTCCTGCCAAGTGAATGTAAAACTGAAGCCTGTAACTGTTTTACACGATGGTAGGATTGCTGGTGTCTTTTTTTTTTCTGTCTCATACACATGCAAGATTTCAGGTAATATCTTGCTACTTCTACTTACACTTAGGTCACACTACACATACATGTACAAGCATATATATACACACCCCTTTGGGTTTTCGTCTATTTTCTTTCTAGTTCTTGTTCTTGTTTATTTCCTCTTACCTCCATGGGGAAGTGGAACAGAATTCTTCCTCCGTAAGCCATGCGTGTTGTAAGAGGCGACTAAAATGCCGGGAGCAAGGGGCTAGTAACCTCTTCTCCTGTATATATTACTAAATGCAAAAGGAGAAACTTTCGTTTTTCCTTTTGGGCCACCCCGCCTTGGTGGGATACAGCCGGTGTGTTGAAAGAAAGAAGAGAAGTCTGTTGAGTATACCTGGTAAAGTGTATGGTAGAGTTATTATTGAAAGAATTAAGAGTAAGACGGAGAATAGGATAGCAGATGAACAAGGAGGCTTTAGGAAAGGTAGGGGGTGTGTGGACCAGGCGTTTACAGTGAAACATATAAGTGAACAGTATTTAGATAAGGCTAAAGAGGTCTTTGTGGCATTTATGGATTTGGAAAAGGCGTATGACAGGGTGGATAGGGGGGCAATGTGGTAGATGTTGCAGGTGTATGGTTAGGAGGTAGGTTACTGAAAGCAGTGAAGAGTTTTTACGAGGATAGTGAGGCTCAAGTTAAGTATGTAGGAAAGAGGGAAATTATTTCCCCAGTAAAAGTAGGCCTTAGACAAGGATGTGTGATGTCACCATGGTTGTTTAATTATTTATAGATGGGGGTTTTAAGAGAAGTAAATGCGAGGTCTTGGCAAAAGGCGTGGAGTTTTAAAAAATAAAGAATCACACATAAAGTGGGAGTTGTCACAGTTGCTCTTTGCTGATGACACTGTGTCTTGGGAGATTTGAAGAGAAGTTGCAGAGATTGGTGGATGAATTTGGTAGGGTGTGCAAAAGAAGAAAATTAAAAGTGAATACAGGAAAGAGTAAGGTTATGAGGATACAAAAAGATTAGGTGATGAAAGATTGGATATCAGATTGGAGGGAGAGAGTATGGGGGAGGGTGAATGTATTCAGATATTTGGGAGTGGACGTGTCAGCGGATGGGTCTATGAAAGATGAGGTGAATCATAGAATTGATGAGGGGAAAAGGGTGAGTGGTGCACTTAGGAGTCTGTGGAACAAAGAACTTTGTCCTTGGGGGCAGAGAGGGGAATGTATGAGAGTATAGTTTTTACCAACGCTCTTATATAGGGGTGAAGCATGGGTGATGAATGTTGCAGCGAGGGAAGGCTGGAGGCAGTGGGAGATGTCATGTCTGAGGGCAATGTTTTGGTGTGAATATAATGCAGAGAATTCGTAGTTTGGAAGTTAGGAGGAGGTGCGGGATTGCCAAAACTGTTGTCCAGAGGGCTGAGGAAGGGTTGTTTTAGGTGGTTCGGACATGTAGAGAGAATGGAGCGACCCGAGTTTACTTCAGAGTGTATCAGTCTGTAGTGGAAGGAAGGCGGGGTAGGGGTCGGCCTAGGAAAGGTTTGGGGGGAGGGGGTAAAGGAGATTTGTGTGCGAGGGGCTTGGACTTCCAGCAGGCATGCGTGAGCGTGTTTGATAGGAGTGAATGGAGACAAATGGTTTTTAATACTTGACGTGCTGTTGGAGTGTGAGCAAAGTAACATTTATGAAGGGGTTCAGGGAAACTGGCAGGCCGGACTTGAGTCCTGGAGATGGGAAGTACAGTGCCTGCACTCTGAAGGAGGGGTGTTAATGTTGCAGTTTAAAAACTGGCAAGACAGTGATGGAGTGAATGATGGTGAAAGTTTTTCTTTTTCGGGCCACCCTGCCTTGGTGGGAATCGGCCAGTGTGATAATAATAAAAATAAAAATCACTATACTTTCGTACATTCCTTTCTTTGCCTCCATGGATAACGTTTTTTGTCTCCACACATACCTCAATGCACTACTCACCTTTTTTCCTTCATCAATTCAATGGTTAACCTCATCCTTCATAAACCCATCCACTGACAAGTCAACTCCCAAATATCTGAAAACATTCACTTCTTCCATACTCCTCTCCAATGTGATATCCAATTTTTATATATCTATATCATTTGATACCCTCATCACCTTACTCTTATCTACGTTCACTTTCAACTTTCTACCTTCACACACACTCCCAAACTCGTCCACTAACCTTTGCAACTTTTCTTTAGACTCTCCCATAAACACAGTATCATCAGCAAAAAGTAACTGTCAATTTCCATTTTGTATTTGATTCCCCATAATTTAATCCCACCCCTCTCCCCAACACCCTAGCATTTACTTCTTTTACAAACCCATCTATAAATATATTAAACAACCATGGTGACATTACACATCCCTGTCTAAGACCTACTTTTACTGGTAAGTAGTCTCCCTCTCTTCTACACATCCTAACCTGAGCCTCACTATCCTCATAAAAACTCTATACAGCATTTAGTAACTTACTACCTATTCTATATACTTGCAACATCTGTCACATTGCCCCCCTATCCACTCTATCATATGCCTTTTCTAAACCCATAAATGCAATGAAAACTTCCCTACCTTTATCTAAATACTGCTCACATACATCCTTCAATGTAAACACCTGATCTACACATCCCCTACCCACTCTAAAGACTCCTTGCTCATCTGCAATCCTACATTCTGTCTTACCTCTAATTCTTTCAATAATAACCCTACCGTCCACTTTTCCTGGTATGCTCAGTAAACTTATTCCCCTATAATTTTTACAATCTCTTTTGTTCCCCTTCCCTTTATATAAAGGAACTATACATGCTCTCTGCCAATCCCTAGGTACCTTCCCCTCTTTCATACATTTATTAAGCAAAAATATCAACCACTCCAACACTATATCCCCCCCTGCTTTTAACATTTCTGTCATGATCCTATCAGTTCCAGCTGCTTTACCCCCTTTCATTCTACGTAATGCCTCACGCACCTCCCCCACACTCACATCCTGCTCTTCTTCACTCCTAAAAGATGTTATACCTCCCTGACCAGTGCATGAAATTACCACCTCCCTTTCTTCATCGACATTTTAAAGTTCCTGAAAATATTCCCACCATCTACCCAATACCTCCAGCTCCCCATCAACTAACTCCCATACTCTGTTTTTAACTGACAAATCCATTCTTTCCATTCTGCTTGTTAAATGTTCTATTATCTTATCAGCACTGATGTTGGGGTTTGAGAGTTGGAAATGTTATTGAAAGTCAAGATATTTACTTTGATTTTTGTATTTCTGTTCCTCTTATCAACTTTTATGCATTCCCAAGAACTTAGAATACAGCAGAATAACTTAGAATACAATAGAATAACTTAGAATACAGTAGAATAAACTAATAAATAACTTCTTCAACCTATGTTGTAACAAATTAAGATTTCTGCACTGCCTGACTAATGGAATATTGTATCTGTTTCTAGTACTTTCCAAGTTTTACCTGCAGGGTTTATTATCTTTTAGTACCTTGTAGAGTGCAGCCAAGTGGTTATCTGTTGCAATAAGGAATGGCTGGTTGACCCCCGGATGATCAAGATCATGGCATACAGCTGCAACAAGAGCTGCAAGAACCTCCAGGGGAGTCATGTGCTCACGTATCTGCCAAATTTACAGTGTGAGAATTGTTGTAGTCATGGTATTTGCTGTTTCTTGCAATATTTAACAAGAGAACTGATTCATGAAATGGTAATAACATGATTGCATACAAACCATGGTACCATGGGTTTAAACCTTGCCTCTACCATTTTTCTTTTTAACAAGAGAATATTACAAAAAATTTGCTAGACATGACACTGAATGGGAAAACAGCTTAGGATGCTACTGTTTACAAATGTAAGGCAAAATCTGAAAGATTGACAAACTTTATACAACAATGCTTAAAACCCACATTATTAAAGTATTACAGACTGAGGTACAGTACTTTATACCCAGGGAATAATATTTAATCAACTGTTCACATCTTACTGGGAAGAGCTTGATACACATTTATAACAAACATGCTTCAAATGCTTCAGATTTTAATACTTATACTATACTGTAATGATCAATATTTTATTGTCCAAAAAGGGATGTTAATAAGTGTAATAAAGATAAATTAACCATTTATTCATTCCCTACAAGTAAAAGCCTTATGTGGTAAAAGGGCTTTACATCACCTTTCCTTACCTTTTCCCCTTTATATGGAAGTTAAGTCTCAGAATATACTGTTGTAAGCAAAATATACTGCTATAAGCAAAATTTATACAAAAAATTGTGCACCTTCTCCTCCTGAAGATAGCAATGCATGGCCTGTGTCACATCTGCAGCATGGATGGCGTTATGGTATGGGTTGGAGGCGTGGTACCCATCTTCAATTAAACCTGAAATGAAAAATCTGTATTGGTATTTTTCAAAAAACTTGCATACTACAAGTTTCATTATGCATCCCATACTCCTGCTGGAGGTAGTCAAAATATTAGGCCCCTCATACTCCTCCTAAAATAGACAGTCTAATGTTTAGGAGCCCCATACTCATGCTGCAGGTGGGAATCCAATATTTAGGAGCCCCCATACTCATGCTGCAAGTGGGAGTCCAATGTTTAGGACTCCCACATTCATCCTATGGGAGGTAATCACAGGATTAGCAGACCTGCTATCATGGGACATAGTCAAAAAGGTTTGGAGCAGTATACTCATCCAAAGGGAAGTTGTCAAGAAATATTACGAGTAGAGACAAAACTATTGTAATAATCTACCTGAACATTCGTGGACAGACTACAAGACTTTACTAATGCAAAACTTTACCACTAACTTCTTTGGCAGGTGCTTAGTTAATATGCAAAGTCAAATTTGCATGTTTATAAGCACTATGTGCTTATTATTCTCAAAATATATACGATGGATTTACTAGCCCCAGCTCTAAGGTATATTACCACCCCCTAGGATGCGACCCACACCAGCCAGCTAATGCACAGGTACCTACTTACTGCTAGGTGAATAGAGGCAGCAGGTATAAGGAAACATGCTTAAAGTTTCCACCCGTACTGGTGATCAAACCTCGAACACTCAGCATGTGAGCCGAGTGCATTACTGAGCCACAGGACATTACTTCATGACCCTTCTAAGGTTCAATCATGTACTCTATCAATACATATAATTATGTCAGCATTCATGGTAGTTCTAATCTGCAGACTTTAGCATCATTCAAATATATCATGGTATTTAAACTCCCAAACATTTCATCTTCACATAACTGATCTGGTGTAAAGGCTGTAGTAAAGTCATTATTTTAACTGTGTCTTTAACCTTTTATTAGTCTGCAGAAATTTTTTTTTTTTTTGAGGCTATTAAAAATGTATTTTATTTTAATAAATGCTTAACCCTTTTGAATTATGTAATCATACCAAAAATTTTACATAATATGTATTTACTCAGGTTGCCATATTTTTTAAAATGTATTTTTTACATGAATGCAACACCAATGAGTTGTGTTTACTGTACATTCCAATATGCATACACTCAATATAAATATTCAATATGTCACTATACATAGTGGCCTATTCTTACCGAATGAGTAGCACATTCTTCTGGTGTCCAAATTAATATAAATTCTTCTATCCCATGACTTTTGAACATTTCCAATGGTAGTTGTACATACTACCTTCCAATGGTAGTAGCACATACTACCTTCCAATGGTAGTAGCACATACTACCTTCCAATGGTAGTAGCACATACTACCTTCCAATGGTAGTAGCACATACTACCTTCCAATGGTAGTAGCACATACTATCTTCCAATGGTAGTAGCACATACTACCTTCCAATGGTAGTAGCACATACTACATTAAATTCATCCCATTGTTACACTACTTGATTTGAAAAAAAATTTTTTTAGTTTCCCTTTAGCCTAATTTTTCTTGGTTTACATCTGTGGCTTCTTTTATCTCTACTAAAGATACAAAACATATTCTTTATCTATTCTTTCAAATTTTTTTATGACCTATATGTGGTAACATTTACAAAGGGATTCAGGGAATGGAAATATAAACACATATGCAGTATAATGTGATCCTTTATTGACTACGTTTCGCCCACACAGTGGGCTTTTTCAAGTCACAAACAGATCTGTTTGTGACTTGAAAAAGCCCACTGTGTGGGTGAAACGTAGTCAATAAAGGATCACATTATACTGCATATGTGTTTATATTTCCATTGTGTCGGTATTTTATACCATTTATTTCCATCGGATTCAGGGAAACTGGTTAGCCAGACTTGAGTCCTGGAGGTGGAAAATACAGTGCCTGCACTCTGAAAGAGGGGTGGGGATATTTGTAGTTCTGAACTATACTATTGATGCCCCTCAGGCCAGACAGTGACGAAGTGATGGTAAAAGTGTTTCTTCTTGGGGGGGGGGGTCACTCTGCCTTGGTGGGAGACGACTGGTTTGTTAAAAAAAAAAAAGTTGATGTATCTTCTCCTCCACCTCTTATTAACCAGCATGGGCATCTTTGATTTCATTATTTTTGCTAATACAGTGGACCCCCAGTTTACGATCAGCTCCCAATGCGACCAATTATGTAAGTGTATTTATGTAAGTGCGTTTGTATGTGTATGTTTGGGGGTCTGAAATGGACTAATCTAATTCACAATATTCCTTATGGGAACAAATTCGGTCAGTACTGGCACCTGAACATACTTCTGGAATGAAATAATATCGTAAACCGGGGTTCCACTGTACATTATCTCCCAAAATAATACCTTTCCATTTTCCATTTATTATACTGGTGGAGAAGTGCTTAACCCATAGGAGTTCAACACCACCTGGGAAATGGGAGGTGATCAGATTTGATTTGAACAAGCAGTCAGTGGCTCCACTTCCTTATATCAAGAGCACTTTACCAGCATCAAAGGTTCATCCCCAAGCTGTGATGACTGATGTCTGTTAGTGTGTCTGTGTTCCCTCAGGGATGCTCAGCTTGCAATGTGAAACTTCTCATTAACTCTTTATTTCATGCCACTTTGTTTACAACCAGATTCTTAACTTTTTTTAAGTGCACTTTTTGTTTTTAATTTCCTCTCTATTAAGTCCTGTTTATTGCTATATATGAAAGAAAAATGAAGCTTGTTTGCATTATGGAAATAAGTCACTTTGACTTTTAAGGGGGATTCTCCTGGGTAATATATACGTAAGTTCAGATGCCCCCACTAACATATGTTAATATGCAGTAAGACCGCAGTAAACAGGTGATATCACAATATGCAAATTAACTAGTGACAAAATAGTGAGATTCCAAGCACTTTCGTGATTTCTCACATAATGTGAGAAATCACAAAAGTGCTTGGAATCTTACTATTTTTTTTACAATTCTCTTACACATGTTAATATGCAAGACAATTGTAACCATCCCAAAAAAATTATGTACAATTTTACCTAAATAAAGTTAGCATTGTTTTATTGTGCAACATCATCAGTAGCTACAATTTCACAAAACTGAATTAAGGGTACTTACTAAAACACTTCCAGATTGTAACTGTGTCAAATTTAAAATGTTGTATAAGACCGTATTTGTGGAGTAGGTAGACACAGAGTACTGATACTGGGCGACCCCCACACACACTGTCCAGGGCAAAGGCATTGAAGCTCCATACACCGACTTGCGACAACACACACTGAAAACACACAATGCAGTATACTTTTAATTTCTTGAATTAAAACAAAAAAAAAATGATGCATGTAAAAAATCCAAAGGGAAGTGCATGAGATCAATATAATAGACATATAAATTCCAAGAGGAAGTACGTAAACTTAAAAGTGTATCAATGCTGAAGAAGAATCATATTTTCATGTGATATCATCTGTGGAGAAAAATCTCCAGTAAAGTGGACTCTTCCTTCCTCCCACAACAGTTTATGAGGAACAGATTTATGTACCATAGCATCTCGAGGCATTCCCTCTCACTGTCAGAATTTCTGATCAACTAAACAATGAGGGTTAAACAAGAGTACGTAATTACTCTTTTCCCCATAACAGGAAAATTAAGAGAAAACCTGTGTTTCACTTGTCCTACAAGTCAGGGACATCATGATTTCTAGTCTACAGCTAAATAACAAGAAACCTACCCTCTTGTGTTAATTCTGATTGCACAGACTAGATATGAGTGGATACAAAGCTGAACTCAGCAATTCTTTTGTGGGGACGATGAACTGGTGGGCGCTGGGCAAGGTGGCAAGCTAGGTTGAATACAGACATCAGAGCATGAATACGTCACAAATCTCCCGCTGAGAACAAAGAAAATAATGACTCTTTGTGGTAAACTCTGAAATACTGTCAATCTCCACTAGGCAATTTAACTAGGGCAAAGAACAGCGCAAACACAAATGTAGTGATCTGCGGTATAAATTATGATATCGAATTAATGTGTGTCACCGTGGCGTATACTCGGACATAAATTATGGGACAAAATATCACCTTACCAAAAAACGACTGGCATCAAAGTGACTGCCTCTCAACAAGTGAGTACAATATAACTACTATACACATCTGTAGCAGCCTACTCAAGACAATGATACCGGGATCACATGTCCCCTACAACAAACTAGTGGAAATTGGGTCAGTTACATACCCAGGCAAGTCCAACCATGCCCAGATTGTCTATGTTAGCTGCAGCTAATAGGTAGATGTGAGATTTGATTGGAGTTACCAATAAATTCCGTGACTCGAGGGCACTCCGCCCACATATACATGTACGTATACATATACAGTGGACCCCCGCTTAACGATCACCTCCCAATGCGACCAATTATGTAAGTGTATTTATGTAAGTGTGTTTGTACGTGTATGTTTGGGGGTCTGAAATGGACTAATCTACTTCACAATATTCCTTATGGGAACAAATTCGGTCTGTACTTGCACCTGAACATACTTCTGGAATGAAAAAATATCGTTAACCGGGGGTCCACTGTATACTGTGTATATGTGTGCAATAATCGTATACAAGTGATACAAGATGCAAAACAACCATGGCGGAAGTTGAATGATAGCTCTAGGCCTTTCATATTGTAATCAACACATAAGGAGCTTGCAATGTTGCAGAAATAAGTAGGAAGTCCAGGTAGATTTCTTCAAGGAAATGAGAGTCTAGCCAGAGTCATTCCCTTGAATATAAAAATAATATAAAATAATTACTGGTAACAACAATAACAATAATAATAATAATAATAATAATAATAATAATAATAATAATAATAATAATAATAATAATAATGATAATAATAATGTACTTTTATAACTGTAGTGTAGGCAGGCCTCTGGAGAGACGGTGATGGAGTGAACGATGATGAAAGTGTTTCTTCTTTTTCGGGTCACCCTGCCTTGGTGGGAAATGGCCTATGTGCTAATAAATAAAAAAAATAATAATAAATAGTAATAGAAAATCACAATGAGTACATTCTGACGAGTATTTCACTTGATTTATGTATACTGAGAGAAACTGTGTATGAGCACATGGAGGGGTGTGTATCTCAGTATTATACACCCATATCTGGGCTCTTTGTTGACCACACTGTGCTTTTGGGAGATTCTGAAGAGAAGTTGCAGAGGTTGGTTGATGAGTTTGGTAGGGTATGTAAAAGAAGGAAATTAAAAGTGAATATAAGAAAGAGTAAAGTGATGAGGATAACAAAAAAATTTGGTAACAGAAGACTGGATATCAAATTGGAGGGAGAGTATGGAGGAGGTGAATGTATTCAGATATTTGGGAATGGATGTGTCAGCAGATGGGTCTATGAAAGATGAAGTAAATCACAGAATTGACGAGGGAAAAGGCAAGAGGTGCACTGATGAGTCTGTGGAGACAAAGAACTTAATCCATGAAACCAAAGAGGGGAATGTATGAGAGTACAGTGGACCCCCGGTTAACGATATTTTTTCACTCCAGAAGTATGTTCAGGTGCCAGTACTGACGAATTTGTTCCCATAAGGAATATTGTGAAGTAGATTAGTCCATTTCAGACCCCCAAACATACACGTGCAAACGCACTTACATAAATACACTTACATAATTGGTCGCATTCGGAGGTGATCGTTATGCGGGGGTCCACTGTATAGTTATACCAACATTGTTGTATGGGTGTGAGGCATGGGTGGTGAATGTTGCAATACGGAGAAGGTTGGAGGCATTGGAGATGTCATGTCTGAGGTCAATGTGTGGTGTGAATATAATGCAGAGAATCCATAGTTTGGAGATTAGAAGGAGTGAAGGATTACCAAAACTATTATCCAGAGGGCTGAGGAGGGGTTATTGAGATGGTTTGGACATGTAGAGAGAATGGAACAAAATAGAATGACTTAGAGAGTATATAAATCTGTAATGGACTGATGGCGGGGTAGGGGTCGGCCTAGGAAAGGTTGGAGGAAGGGGGTAAAGGAGGTTTTGTGTGTGAGGGGCTTGGACTCCAGCAAGCGTCAGTGAGCGTGTTAGATAGGAGCAAATGGAGACAAATGGTTTTTAGGACTTGACGTGCTGTTGGAGTGTGAGCAAAGTAACATTTATGAAGGGATTCAGGGAAACCGGCAGGCCGTACTTGAGTCCTGGAGATGGGAAGTACAGTGCCTGCACTCTGAAGGAGGGGTGTTAATGTTGCAGTTTTATAACTGTAGTGTAAGCATGCCTCTGGCAAGACAGTGATGGAGTGAATGATGATAAGAGTTTTTCTTTTCTGGGCCACCCTGCCTTGGTGAGAAACAGCCGATGTGTTAATAAAATATAAAAATCTGGGATTAAAGTATTTATGATTTCTGTAGAACAGGTGACATGTAGCCTTAATGACCTGTGTGTGTTGACAGGATTTAAGTGCCATTCAGCTAGAGATAATGATCATCACTCGGCTCACACACTGAGGTCTTTGGTTTGATCCCTGGTATGGGTAGAAACACTGGGGTATTTTCCTTAAGACACCTGCTGTCCCTGTTCACCTAGCAGTAAGTAGGTACCTGGGTGTTAGTCAAATGGTGTGGGTCGCATCCTGGGGACAAGATTAACCTAATTTGCCAGAAATACTCTGCCTGGGCCTGGTCATAGACCGGGCCATGGGGGCATTGACCCCCAAAACCCTCCCCAGGTATATTCCAGGTATAACCAGGGGCTTTCTATACAGTATGTCATTGATGCCAGCTATGGTTTGTATAAATTGTGTCATGTACAAGTAGAAATAAAGATTATTATTATTATTATTATTATTATTATTATTATTATTATTATTATTATTATTATTATATTACAGTGTATTTACTTCTGGAAATAAAGATTATTATTATTATTACAAGTAATGATGGTGGTAACTAACTTGGGTCGGGCCATGGTATAGGTCGTCCAGAAGAGCTCTGTGTGGCTGGTTCAACTGACGTGTGGGAGGCTTGCGTCGCCGCCGCCGGTGTAGGGTCATGAACCTGCTGTAGGAGGAGGTGCCCCTTACTACACTCCTCAGGAGACGCTCCTCTGCCTCTCCCACGCTCATCTCACCGCTGGTGCCTGCAGCGCCTGCCACACTGCTGGCGGAGCTTCGCCAGGCATCAGAGGAGCCTGGCACTGCTACACTGGGGGTGAGTGACGTCTCCACCGTGGTACTGCCCTTCACATCACCTGCAACCAACACGATAGTATCAATACAAAATTATAATGCTTAAACAACAAGAAGGTATAATACTGTGACAGGAACAATATACAAATGACCCACACACACACTCGACCCCTGCAACCACAAATAGGTGAGTATAGGTGAGTACACACACACACACACACACACACACACACACACACACACACACACACACACACACACACACACACACACGAAGCTGTTGTACAGCCACATCAGGAGGAAAACAACAGTCAAGGACCAGGTAATCAGACTGAGGAAGGGTGATGGGGAATTCACAAGAAACGACCGGGAGGTATGTCAGCTCAACACGAGATTTAAAGAAGTATTTACAGTGGAAACCAGTAGGACTCCAGGAAATCAGAGCAGGGGGGTGCACCAGCAAGTGCTGGATGAGGTACATATAACCAAGGAGGAGGTGAAGAAGCTGCTATGCGAACATGACACCTCAAAGGCGGTGGGACCAGACAACATCTCTCCGTGGGTCCTTAAAGAGGGAGCAGAGATATTGTGTGTACCATTAACAAAGATCTTCAACACATCATTTGAAACTGGGCAACTCCCCGAGGTATGGAAGATGGCAAATGTAGTCCCAATATTTAAAAAGGGAGACAGACATGAGGCACTAAACTACAGACCTGTATCACTAACGTGTATAGTATGCAAGGTCATGGAGAAGATCATCAGGAGGAGAGTGGTGGAGCACCTGGAAAGAAACAAGTGTATAATTGACAACCAGCATGGTTTCAGGGAGGGAAAATCCTGTGTCACAAACCTACTAGAGTTTTATGACAAGGTGACAGAAGTAAGACAAGAGAGAGAGGGGTGGATCGACTGCATCTTTTTGGACTGCAAGACGGTCTTCGACACAGTTCCTCACAAGAGGTTACTGCAAAAGCTAGAGGATCAGGCACACAACAGGAAAGGCACTGCAATGGATAAGAGAATATCTGACAGGGAGGCAACAACGAGTCATGGTATGTGACGAGGTGTCAGAGTGGGCGCCTGTGACAAGCAGGGTTCCACAGGGGTCAGTCCTAGGACCTGTGCTGTTCTTGGTATATGTGAATGACATAACGGAAGGGATAGACTCAGAAGTGTCCTTGTTTGCAGATGATGTGAAGTTAATGAGAAGAATCAAATCGGATGAGGATCAGGCAGGACTACAAAGAAACCTGGACAGGCTACAAGCCTGGTCCAGCAACTGGCTCCTTGAGTTTAACCCTGCCAAATGCAAAGTCATGAAGATTGGGGAAGGGCAAAGAAGACCGCAGACACAATATAGTTTAGATGGCCAAAGTCTGCAAACCTCACTCAAGGAAAAAGATCTGGGGGTGAGTATAACACCGAGCATATCTCCTGAGGCACACATCAATCAGATAACTGCTGCAGCATACGGGCGCCTGGCAAACCTACGGATAGCGTTCCGATACCTCAGTAAGGATTCGTTCAAGACTCTGTATACCATTTACGTCAGGCCCATACTGGAGTATGCAGCACCAGTTTGGAATCCACACCTAGTCAAGCACGTCAAGAAATTAGAGAAAGTGAAATGGTTTGCAACAAGACTAGTCCCAGAGCTACGGGGATTGTCCTACGAAGAAAGGTTGAGGGAAATCGGCCTGACGACACTGGAGGCCAGGAGGGTCAGGGGAGACATGATAACGACATATAAAATACTGCGCGGAATAGACGAGGTGGACAAAGACGGGATGTTCCAGAGATGGGACACAGACACAAGAGGTCACAATTGGAAGTTGAAGACTCAGATGAATCAAAGGGATGTTAGGAAGTATTTCTTCAGTCATAGAGTAGTCAAGCCGTGGAATAGCCTAGAAAGTGAAGTAGTGGAGGCAGGAACCATACATAGTTTTAAGGCGAGGTATGATAAAGCTCATGGAGCAGGGAGAGAGGACCTAGTAGCAATCAGTGAAGAGGCGGGGCCAGGAGCTATGACTCGACCCCTGCAACCACAAATAGGTGAGTACACGATGATGGAAGGAATAGACTCTGAAGTGTCCCTGTTCGCAGATGTGAAGTTGATGAGAAGAATTAAATCGGATGAGGATGAGGCAGGACTGCAAAGAGACCTGGACAGGCTGGACATGTGGTCCAGTAACTGGCTTCTCGAATTCAGTCCAGCCAAATGCAAAGTCATGAAGATTGGGGAGGGGCAAAGAAGACCGCAGACAGAGTATAGGCTAGGTGGACAAAGACTACAGACCTCACTCAGGGAGAAAGACCTTGGGATGACCATAACACCGAGCACATCACCGGAGGCACACATCAACCAAATAACTGCTGCAGCATACGGGCGCCTGGCAAACCTGAGAATAGCGTTCCGATACCTTAATAAGGAATCGTTCAAGACACTGTACACTGTGTATGTTAGGCCCATACTGGAGTATGCAGCACCAGTCTGGAACCCACACCTGGTCAAGCACGTCAAGAAGTTAGAGAAAGTACAAAGGTTTGCAACAAGGCTAGTCCCAGAGCTCAGGGGAATGTCGTACGAGGAAAGGTTGAGGGAAATCGGACTGACGACACTGGAGGACAGAAGGATCAGGGAAGACATGATAACGACATACAAGATACTGCGGGGAATAGACAAGGTGGACAGAGATAGGATGTTCCAGAGAGGGGACACAGGGACAAGGGGTCACAACTGGAAGCTGAAGACTCAGACGAGTCACAGGGACGTTAGGAAGTATTTCTTCAGTCATAGAGTTGTCAGGAAGTGGAATAGCCTAGCAAGTGAAGTAGTGGAGGCAGGAACCATACATAGTTTTAATAAGAGGTATGACAAAGCTCAGGAAGCAGAGAGAGAGAGGACCCAGTAGCGATCAGTGAAGAGGCGGGGCCAGGAGCTGAGTCTCGACCCCTGCAACCACAATTAGGTGAGTACACAAACACACACACACACACACACACACACACACACACACACACACACACACACACACACACACATAAAAGCTCATGTCAACGTTTCGGTCTGACCTGCACCGTTCACAGTCACAGTGACACTTGTAAATGGTCCAAGCCGGACCGAAACGTCACTGTAACTTTCTCCTATGTACGGGTTGTGTATAATACTAAAAGTAATGAATTATTTATCGTCCGTCATTCTGGACTCACTCGTCCTTTACTGAGTTGGGTTATTTTCTGGTACACATTTGCATCTTATCAATAACTGTTTTGGCTATATATATATATATATATATATATATATATATATATATATATATATATATATATATATATATATATATATACATATATATATATATCACGTATAAATTCAGTCAGGTACTCAAATTACTAAGAATACCTGAGGTCCCTTGAAATGCACTTCTTGCAACTTAGACGAAGGTGCATCATAATATAAACCTGAAGAATTCTTGTAAGACTAGTGCCAAATCTGCACACTGAAATTACCCCCTACGAGAGCAAGAAGTATCGGTATATATATATACCTTTGAAGAGTTTCGAGAGTTTAACTACTCTCGGAGCCCGGCCATGCGTCAGGCTCGCAGACGGTACAAGATACTCCCAATGAAAATCAGTGGTGCAATGAGTATATCGAGGTAATAGAATAAGTGTAAAGAGACCAAGACTTTTTAACACCCTCCCTTTTTACATAACGGGAATTACCAACGGACCTCTAGCCGTTAAGTTCCTCAAGTCAGCTCCTGATGAGCCAGGTTGTGGTGCCTAAGTTGGACTACGTACTTCTAGCATCAATAGTTTGGTTACTTAGGCCATCAACCAGGAGGCCTAGCCTGAGACCGAGTCACGGGGAAATTAATTCTCAAAATCGTCTTCTGATACTCTTCAGGTTACTTCCTCCGTTATCTCCTGATTACGGTCTCACTGTTTCCTAACAACAGGTGAAGCCAGGTCATTCCTCCTGGTTGGTAACTGAACCACGAACCTGGTTAACCCAGATTATTCCCCCTGGTTGGTAACTGAACTGAACCACGAACCTGGTTAACCCAGGTTATTCCCCCTGGTTGGTAATTGAACCACGAACCTGGTTAACCCAGGTTATTCCCCCTGGTTGGTAACTGAACCACGAACCTGGTTGAGCCAGGTTATTCCCCCTGGTTGGTAACTGAACCACGAACCTGGTTAACCCAGGTTATTCCCCCTGGTTGGTAATTGAACCACGAACCTGGTTAACCCAGGTTGTTCCCCCTGGTTGGTAACTGAACCACGAACCTGGTTGAGCCAGGTTATTCCCCCTGGTTGGTAACTGAACCTCGAACCTGGTTAACCCAGATTATTCCTGCTGCTAGGTAAATGAACCACGAACCAGGTTAAGCCATCAATGGCTGTGTCATAATCTTCCAAGATAATACTGAGTCTTTGTGTGTCATTAATATTCTCTACACAACCTTCCATGTAATGCGGTGCCTTGATGCTGGGGAAGGGCTCTTGATCCAAGGAACTGGAGCTTCCCTCCACTTCCTTGAATCAACCCTGATTACCTTCCATTCCCCAGGCACTGTATGACCCCTACGGGCTTAATGTTTACCCGTCACTATAAAAACTAACAATACACACAACCCCTGAAATAAGTGTAAATGTCGTATCCAGCAACACAATTTTATGAAATATTTAAAACTAAAATATTTAATAATAAATTGGTAGGAAGGTGGACTCTGGACAAAACTCGCACGGAATACAATATATGAAGTTGTCTGAGTGGAATACCAGATTACTGCACTAACACTGCAAAATGTGGCGCCCGCACGCTCCATACACAGCTTTAAGAATAAGTATGAACAGGTGGGGAAGTGAAACCGTCAACTTCCACTTAAAGAGGCGAGCCCAGGAGGCCACACTTAACCTCTGCCACCACCAATAGGTGAGCAGTGAGCTCCCGTCTGATGTCTGTGGGTCTGGGTCCTTCCAGGAGCTGGAGTCATCGTTCCCTTTCTTAGATCAAAACTGATTATGAATGAGCAACTTGTGCAACATC